CCCTTCAGCTACTCTGAGTCCTGGGCCAAGTGTACATTCAGCTCTCTGGCAAAGGGCTTCAGCTTCTCCTGCAAGTCACTGCATCAGTGAGCTTGGAGACGGTGAAAGGAAGTCACAGGTTTCAGATTGTCCTCATGAGTTTCAGAACTCATAGGTTCTCATTTGTTCTCACAGGTTCCAATTTCCCTTACTCTCCTCTACTTCACAACCAGCTTTCCTTCCCAACTGCTGGCCTTGCTGGCCTATAAAGACTTCAGGCCCAACAACAGACACAGAGGCAAGAGAGTTGCATGGATTTCTCCCTCAACTTCCATAACTGCACAAGGTCTAATTCTTATACTAAATCCTTAATTCTTTTACTCATAGTTTTTGGCTTCTCTCATCAAACCTTATAGTAGTTTATTCAAGCCATGTGAAATGCCCAGAAGGTGGAGTGATTAGAAGCCAGAAGGCTTCACAGAAGAGGTTATATCTGAGCTGCTTCTGAAATGATGAGCAGGAGGTTACCCATATGGGGAGGGAGGGAAAAATTCTAGAGAAGAGCTGGCTTAATTGAAAGGGCAAAAAGGAGTTCTTCCTTTCTAGAACAACTGTCCTGTCCATGGTTCTAGAGCATAGGTAGGAAGAAAACATCTGATCCTAGCTCTTGATCCTAGCTCTTTCGATCCTATTGAGGTGAACCGTTGCTCATTGGTATCTACTGAGATACATTTTTGCTAGGGCGTGCCCTTGTCATTACCCTAAGTCCCTTCCCCATAGGAAAACATTGGCCTGCTCCCCTCTCCCCATTGGCTCTACATGGCCACCCCAAGCCTGTCTTTCTTGGCTCCCTCATGCAGGTATCTTTGTTTCCCTATGCTGTATTGGTGATGGCAGTGGTGTGGAGGAATGCTCTGGGGATTCCTGTCAGGGCACTGTGCCCTCTAGTCTTGGATCCCTAAGCTTATCTAGGGGTTCTAACATTAATTGCAGGATTCCTCCTGGGGCAGGGGTAAGATGCCCTACAGTTAGTTATAACTTGCTAAAACTTTCTGAGCATCTTGATGAGGTGCAGGCGGTGGGTGGGTAGGGACATGGGATCAGGTACCCATTTCCACCTAAACCTGGAATCAATAATTTGAAATCTTTGTTCACCAGTTTTGTGGTAACAGGGTGCTTCTTTCTGGCTTCCAGAATGGGTAAAGTTCTCAGCATAAATAGGGAGGCCAGGGAAATAGAACACAATGTTTAATAAAAACCTGCTACCACTTTACATATGAATTTTTAAACTCAAATGGGATCGCAGTATACATACTTTTCTAAACCATACTTTTTTTACTTAGTATGTCTGAAAATCTTTTTACAAGCAGCACATTTGGCTCTATGTCATTTTTTATGGCTTCATAATATTCTATAATATAGGCTACTGTACTATATTTAACTATTCCCATACTGATGTATATTTGTTTCTGCCTTTTATCCGATATTGCAAACAAGGTTATGATGAACATCCTTTTGAGTGCATCTTAAACGTATATTTCCATATGGTTTAGTGCCTAGAAATGGAATTGCTGGATCTAAGAGAATGTGCTATGTTTTTTTAAAATTATAACCAAATTGCCCTCCTACAGGTATATACTAATTTACTCTCCCACCAACAGTATATGAGAGCACAGACCATTTCAAAAACCCATTTTGAGATGATTTCCAATCGTTAAAACTCTCACTACAGGTTTAGAAAGGTTTGGAAAGGTCACAGTGTTCTGTATGTTTTTTTGGTAAGGAACCACTATTCCCTAGAACTGCAGTCTCCAACCTTTTTGGCACCAGGGACCAGTGCTCCTATGAGAATCTAATGTCTGATGATCTGAGGTGGAGCTGAGGCGGTGATGCTGGTGCGGGAGAGTGGCTGCAAATACAGATGAAGCTTCGCCAGCTTGTCTGCCACTCACCTCCTGCTGTGTTCCTAACAGGACAGGACCGTTACTGGTCCACAGCCTGTGGGTTGGAGAACCCTGCCTTAGATATTACCATCTGTTGTCAGTCCTGAGAATTGCCCTGGAAGAGGTTTCAGTTTGGGTCTGATTTTTATGTCTTTGATAGATGCAAGCTCATTTTGATTAATAATCAACAAGGGACCATCAGCTCCTACCCCAGCCACCCTCTCTGCATCAGTTCTGCTATCCATGAGTACCAGCTCTTTTTTTGGTCCTGGAATCTTGCAAGTGAGGCCCTGCTGACTGGCCTCTTCCTGTGTGAGCCGCCGTCCCAGGCCTTCACTGCATTTGAGATACCTGGCTTTCTTTCAGTTCTGCAATCCTATCTCAGGACCTTTGCCCATGCTGTTCCCAACACCTGAAGCACACTTCTCACCCCTTTCCCTTTGCCAGTTTACCTTTTACTCATCCTTTATATCTCTGCTCAAACATCCCTTCTTTCAAGAATCCTTCCTTGGTCCCTTCGATAATGTCAGGTTACCCATGACACATTTTTCCTTTATAGCACATACCTATTGCCAATTATTTTTTAATTTGCTTAATTATTTAATTAAAATATGCCTCTCCCACTGGAATATAAACTGCATGAGATGAGAGCAAAGGCCTAGAACATCACTTAGTACGTAGTAGGTGTTCAATAAATATTTGTTGAATAAACAAATGACAAATTTTTCTTTAGCAGGCCTTACACGAAAGAGCTTCCATATTTTTGTTACCTTGATTACATGTCCCCCTTCAGATGATGAATCTTTTTTCACTTCATATATTTCTACTCTTCTTCCATTCTGTGTTTTGTTGTTGTTGTTGTTGTTGACTTTTTTTTTTAATGGAAAAAAGACTACATGAAGTGGAAAAGACTAAAAATCTTTAGTCTTTATTGTATTTTTTATTATAAAATTAATAAATGCCTTCTGTAAATTTCCAAACAGTACAGAAATATATGGAATAGAAAATGAAGGTCTCCCCATAATCTCACTCTTGAGAACTATTAATGCTGTGTATCCTTCCAGACATTTTTATATGCATATTGAAATCTATTTATATGTCAGGCACTGTTCTCAGCACTTTAGAGAAGTCATGTACATCCTCACAGCAACCCTTTGTGGTAGAATCGTTATTATCCTGTCTTACAGATGAGGAAACTGAAGCTTAGGAACTAATCACACAGTGGCAGAACCAGAACTTGAACCCAGCCTCCAGATTCACACTCTTGACCACTATGCTAGTTTGTCTCTGATGAAGCGGGAAAGAGACTTTCTATTATGTGTGCCCTTTTGAACTTTGAATTTTGAACCATGTGAATGTATAACATTCTAAAATATGGATAAAAGACTAAAAAAATCAAAAACAAAAGTATTTAGTACATCAAACTACTCTTCCTAAGTGACTCCTCTGAGCCATCAGATATCACATTTACAGGTCTCTTTGCTCCAGAGACTCAGGCTGGAGGCCAAGGGAAATGAGATTGTAGATTCAGTAATAATGTACTGCCTCTCTCCCATTCCCAGCATCTCCCCAGTTTCAGTGAGTTTGCTTCCAAGGATCTCCAGTCTCTTAGCACACACTCATTAGCCCTGTGTTTTAGCAGAGAGACCTGGAAGAGTTGGAATTGAGCCACGCTGACAGTGGGGACAGGGTCTCGCAGTTACACACACAGGCCTATCTCAGATTGGCCCTTGACATGCTGCCTTTTCTGTAGGTGCTGAAGTCCCTTTTAGCTGGGTCTATGCTATACCCCAGCACCAGAGTGTTGTCCCCCAGTGTGAATAGTACTGCTTTGTGTAACTTCCCAATGTCCCACATCTTTATTAAATCCACAGACAGACCATGGCCCTGAGAGCATGTGGCTTGATCATCTTCCGAAGACGCCTCATCCCCAAGGTGGACAACACTGCAATTGAGTTTCTACTGCTGCAGGCATCAGATGGCATTCATCACTGGACTCCTCCTAAAGGTACAAGGCCAGAGGTGCTGGCTTTTGGGGAGATGCTAAGCGTTACTCAGAAATCCACCCTGCCAGGCCCCCCATAAGTCTTGCTTCCCAGTGACTATGCAGCAGGAGGTAGGGTAGGTAGGAGCACTTGATCCTTTCTACATTCAAGGTCTCCATGCCAGGCCAGAGCAGAGGTGGAAATGGAACTCTGTGACTGAATCTCAGGACAGAAGCATCACCTGGGGTGGGTGGGTGGGTGTGTGTGTGTGTGTGTGTGTGTGTGTGAGAGAGAGAGAGAGAGAGAGAGAGAGAGAGAGAGAGAGAGAGAGAGAGAGAGAGAGAGAGAGAGAGAGAGAGAGAGAGAGAGAGAGAGAGAGAGAGAGAGAGAGAGAGAGAGAGAGAGAGAGAGAGAGAGATTCAACAGAGTGCCAGTCTCTGTGATAAACAGCTGAGGAGAAAAGACACTAGGCTGGGCATTGGGGTCCTCGCAGTCAAGTCATTATTGGGCTACAGGTCAGGAGCCCAGAGTGAATAGTTCCCAGACAGAAAGGATCAGGACTTCAAAAGGGAGTGGGGTGAGGGAGGGATGAACAAGAATCCAGAGGTGGAGGAAAACAAGGAAATGAGAACAGGAAATAAAATTTGCACATTTGAGTTTCACTAGGGAAAAAACAAGGTGAAAAAAAGGGACAGAAGTGTCATAAATACTATGAATAGGAATATTCATTCACACTTATCTCCTGACCACCTAAGTCACACTGCATGGTACCTCTCTCTGAAAGATTTCAAAGGACTCTTCAGAATTTTTTCCTGCTTGGGCCTAAGGGAGAAGTTACCCTATTAATATTGATGGGAAGAACGCTGAATAGATGATGTTGGGAAGGGTATGCTCAGAGACCCCCATATACTTCTAAAGGAAGGTGACATCCCGGATCAGTCATCTCTGTCACCACCAGCATCCCTCCTGCCTTCTTCCCTTGATGCATTACCTACCAGTCTTTTTGTACATGGCTATATGAGGTGCTATATGGAGAAAATTCTCCAGAAGCCATGAGCTAGAATGGATTTTTAAGTCCAAACTGCTGATTGCTTTCTTTCAGAGCTGTGCAGCAGCAGCTGACTCAGGGCACTGCTATGAAGACCCCTGGGAAGGAGGAGGGCTAAGATATAGCCCCATCTCCAAACCAAGAAGGGGACAGCTAAGAATTCCTGCTCTCCATGAGCTTCTGAACCAGGAGGCCTCCAGCAACTTGCTGGAGCCATGTGTTGACAGAGGCTGCCAGACCCCTCCCAGTCCTTCTTGGCTCCTCTGGGCAAGCTGAGAATGTGCAGGGAGGGCCTAGAGGCAGAGCTGAGGCCTGCTTCAGTCTGCAGAGCTTCAGGTTCTCCTACAACAGTTTCTTGGCAGCTGTCTGCTTAGTTTTGGGTCTTGCCAACAAATTCTCTTAGAACTTTTTCTCAGCTTGTCCTTAGTCTAAGTTCCCATCAGGACTTTCCCTGTGAAACTGGAATCTGGTCTTGCTCAGTTAGAAAGATGAAAACAATTTGGAAGAGCCTTGATAGCTACTTGGAAACAGCTGCTGGTGCTGCAGTGCATGGTTTTGAGCCTGTCTGTTGGCCCTGGGACTTCGGAGACCAACTGTAGACAGTGTTAAGTCCTTACTGTGGATTGTAGGCAAAGTGCTCCCTCTTCAGCCAGCTCCCATCTGCCAAGAAGGGACTGCTTCTCCTTGGGAAAATCACTTGAAGGTCTCCAAGGGAAAGGTCTCCCTGAAGATATGGGATGAGGAGAGTTCCAAAGAGCAAGAAAGCAGAAGTCTGAGGGGGGCCATCTCGCTCACCATCAAAGAGCAGTATTCTAGACCAGACTTGCCAAACACATGGTCTGTTTCACTCTCTGCAGAGAAGATGGGGTGGGGAGGAGGAGTTTCCTAGACACCACAGAGCCAGACAGTCCATATCTGCCCTGCACTCCATTCCTAGGTATGTTAGGATGTTGCCACTCTCTAGGCTCTCTTTAGCCTAGCAACAGCTAGAAAAGTCACCAGAGATCCCATCTTTAAATCATCTAACCTGGAAAATTTAGCTTTTTTGAAGATTATCTGATCGTCCTCTCCTTCTTTTCTCCTAACCAGGCCATGTGGAACCAGGAGAAAATGAATTGGAAACAGCCTTGCGGGAGACTCAGGAGGAAGCAGGCCTAACAGCAAGCCAGCTGACCATTATTGAGGGGTTCAGAAAGGAGCTCAATTATGTGGCCAGGAAGAAGCCTAAAACAGTCATCTTCTTGCTGGCGGAGGTGAAGGACTACGACGTGGAGATCCGCCTCTCCCATGAACACCAAGCTTACCGCTGGCTGGGGCTGGATGAGGCCTGCCAGTTGGCTCAGTTCACGGAAATGAAGGCAGCACTCCAAGAAGGACACCAATTTCTCTGCTCCACAGTGGCCTGAGCTGCCTGAAACAGAGTAATTTGCCTCAGTAGGATCCTTGAGGGCCTTCTGAAATGAACCCACCTTCAGCTCCAAGGAAGGTTGTTCTAGTCTTTGACTCATCATAGCAAAGAGTAGATCGGTTAGTAAAATAAGCTGAGGACTCTCAGAGGAGAGCAAGCAAAAATCTTAGCTGGGTAGAAAGAAAGACAAAGGAGGAGTTAAAAAAAAGGCCAATAAGTGCATCCTTGTACTTAATAAATTTCAAGCAGAGATCTGTTCTTCTAACCTGTTGTATTTATTTCTTGGACCCTTGCCCTTGGGGACAAGAACGCTAAAGTGAATGGAGCACTGACCTTAGCCAGAGGGAATCCTGTGTCCACACATGGTACTCCAGAGAAGCTAAGGGAGGCAGGGGAGTCAGAATAGGAGAGACCCAAAACTGCCAGGGTCATTCTCCTGCCTCTGGAACTCCAAGCCCTCTCACCCCACCCTTTCCAGTGTACCTGAGACTTTGTGACCTGTAGTCGGACAGGATGTACAAGCGAGTGGAACTGGAACACAGGAATGGGATCTGTTCTAGTCACTAATGTATCTCTCCTGGCACCAGGAACATATATTGTGGGTGCTCATTAAATATTTTCTAAAATAATTAGAGACCCAGGGAACTTTGGGACATAGCCTAGATCACAACAGAGAAAAGAAGGACAGGCAACCCTGGGCCACCAGGTCAGTGACATGTGTACTCCAACCTCTTGGCCCAGTTCTGCCTCCCAGAGTCAGCATGGGCCTCGTCAGCATGACTAAGGTCACTGGCAAGAGGCTGGCAGGCCCCGGCTTGGGGAGCCCCTGCTGGGCCACCCAGCAGCCCCGTCACTACACATGTGCACTTCTCGCCTGCAGCTGCTTTCTCAACCTTTAACAGGCCCTCATTATTGTTTTTTCTCTCTTTCCACCTACTCCCTTTCTCCACAAGTCAACTATAAGACTCAGAGGCTCAGGAGTTGGGTCTCAGCCCTCTTTTCCCTTGCTACTAGGACTCAAGGAATTCAGGGCAGGTGTTAGATCATACGGCCCTTCCAGGAGCTGTTAGCAGCTGGATTCATGTGGATTTTATTAGAGCGTTGTTGCCCAATGAAGTGCAGAAGATTGGATAGGAAGGGGTACTGGCAAAGGTCAATCTGGATTACCAGGGTCAAGAACTGCCACCCCCCAGAGGAAGGAGAGAGAAGTCGCCCAGGTCTTAAGCAGGCTTCCAGATGTTTTCAGTCACTGGTTCTCCGTGCAGACAGGGCAAAAGTACTAGCGAACAGGATCTTGGAGCACCGCCAGGGACCTGAATGGTTTTGTTCCTCACCCCTCTGAGTAGCATTCTGAAGGAGGCCTGCTGCAGGAAGTTTTTGGAGCTTAATGTTCTCTCTCTAGGCCAGCAGGGACCACATCCCATTGATTTAATAAATGCCTGCTGGGCAGTGGTGCCAAACCACAGACTAGCTGCCTCCTAACAAGGGCTGGCCAGCCCTGTGCTCTCAGCCTGGGAGGCTGTGGAATCTTAAGATGCTAAGACCTCATATGTCAGAGTTAGAAGGGACCTGGAAAATGACCTGATTTTGCTGCTTGTTTTTCTAGTTGGGGAATTGAGGCTTAAGAAGGTAGATGGCCCTGGAAGTTGCCTATATGTGGGGTACTTTGAAGATGAGGTGCCAGAGGGAAAACTCTGCATTCGAATATCTTGTATAGTGTTGGGGTCATTCCTCCAGACCTTACAGAATTTTTCATTAAAACAGGTACTTTGGAGAATGGGGAGGCATAAATTATATTCATTTGCTCACATTGCAGGGAGAATTGACAGCAGGGTGGGACCAGGGCATGTTATGGGAGGTGGATAAGGGTGGGAGAGAGTGGAACTGAGACTGGGATGTGGCAGGTGAGTAGACTTTGTCATCATCACCACTTTGCTTCTGGCCGGCTGGAAGTTCAAGAGCTATGGGGCTAAGACTTCAATTTCCTCTTCAATCTTAGACCCTCTGAGCTCCAGAGTATCTCCTTCTGGAAGCTTTCCCTAATAACTACCCATCCTATAAACACCATCCTGTTTCCTCACCTGTACCTGAAGAGCTTCCTCTTGGAACTCTACCTGTTCTCCCCACTGCCACTTCCATCAACCCAGGGTGAAGAAACATCCAATGGACTTATCCCCACAAGGGTGGTCTTAAGTTGCCCCCTCCCAGGGACATTTAACATGCTCTGGACAACCAACATGTCCCTTTGACCCCCAAAGCACCACCTTACACCCCCACAGTAGGCACTTGTTTGCTGGATTGAAGATCCAAAGGAATGAAGGTAGCTTTTAATGGTAGTTTTAATGGTAGAATTTCAAGTGACATACTTGTGGGGGTATAGGACCCCAGCTGGGAAGCAGAGGCTAACTTCATGTGTCCAGCCTCTGCCCCACCTTGTCTTCTGTAGAGGAGGGCTGTGCCAGCCCCGCTGCTGTGCCAGCCCCGCTGCTGTGCCAGCCCCGCTGCTGCCCACTTGAGGCTGTAGGTGCCCAGAGACCTGCTTTCTGCCTTTCCCTCAAGCCGCCCCGCCTTTGCTTCCCTTCTTACTCCACCTCCTACTCAGGATTGTGTAATAGGAAATTCCCAACTGGGCTCCCTAAGGAGGGGAAAGGGGGCTAGGGAGGGAAAAACAGCACAGGATACAGAGTACAGAGCACAACCTCTTCCCGTTCTTCAGACTGGGAACTCTCAAGGACAGGGCCTCCTCCTCTTCTGTCTCATTCTTCCCTCAACCTTACCTCCAGTCAAACTCAGGGCTTGCCACATAGGACCAAGGATTCTCCCCTCCCCTAATAGGTGATGGGGGTCAAAAGGTAAAGACTTCCAAGTATAAAATGAATAAGTCCTGAGGATGTAACGTACAGCATGGTGACTATAGTTAATAACACTGGATTGCATTATTTGAAAGTAGCTAGGAGAGTAGATCTTGAATGTTTTCATTACAAGAAAAAAATGTATGTTGACAAATATTAACTGGACTTACTGTGGTGATCATTTTATAATACATACATACATCGAATCATTACATGGTATACCTAAAACTAATACAATGTCTTGTCGATTATAGCTCAATTTAAAAAAAGAAGAATTCAGCCTCTGTTTTCCCCTATATTCCATTAAAATGATGAAGTACATTTTTTTAAAAAAAAGCATTCTTCCCTCTGCTCAAGCTGCTGGAAAGATCCTTAGGCATAATGAAGTAAATAGCCTTAAGATAAAAACCAGGTTGTTCTTTGGGAGCTGGAGTATGCCAGAGAGGGGAGGGTGTCCGTCAGCAGAACTCCCACTGAGTCAGACAATGGCAAGAAAGGAAATCACTCAATTGCCACAGTGGATTTCTTCAAGGCAGAGTCCAGGCAGGCCACCCCTCACAGCGATGGGCTGTGCAGCTATTCCCAGAATGGAAGGTAGTATTTCTTCAAATGCTTTTCAAAATATGTTCATATGTACATGTGTGAGAGCAAAACAGAAACAGAAAAGTGAGGATTCAGGTCTTGAACACCAGAGCTGGATTTTTTTCATAAGTGACGTAATTGAATTTCGGAAAGAATTCCTTGGCTGCTAACTGGATTGGATTGAAGGGTCCAAGAGTAGAAAGAGTTAGGAGGACACTGCAGATGTCCAGGCTCGAAGTGATAAGGTGTGACATAGGGTAGTGGCCAAGGGATGGAGAAGTCAAGATTGGTTTTGGACTTGAGGAGGGGACAAGGGACAAGAAATCTCAGTGAGGGTAACTATCAGAATTAGACTTACTCTGGAGCCAGCCAGGGTGAGAGACACTTTACCCAGATCTGGGGGAACAAGGGCAAATACCTATCCAGAAAATTCACATCTCAGCCTTAGAGAAAGGGCTTTGCCAGGGCTCAGCTGATTCATATGGTATTGGAAGGGAAACTGAGGCAGACAGACCCTCAGGGTGCACACAGTCACAGAATGAGGGCATTAGGCCCTAGTCCTAGATTTTCTGCAGTGACCAGTCAGTCTCTCCCCATTATCCTAGAGAAGGGAGTTCCATTCCTTTATATCAGCTCCCCCACCACCAATAACCAGCCCAGGGGAAAAGGGGAGACCAATGAGGAATTCCAGCCATGACAAAGCTGCTAAAATCTTCATGAAGGAGGGGCAGCCTCCACCCCAATCCAAATATGCAGAGAGAGAGAAATAAATTTTGAATGCATAAGAGGTATTAGCAGGGATGGGAGGTTGGACAAGGCTGGAAAGGGCCAAAGTTCCTGGCATCTCGGGGAATAGGGGTAGAAGTAGCTTCCAGTCTAGTTCCATCCTCTTCTGTCGTTAAGACAGCTCTTTCTCACAGTTTTTGCCATTCCAGCCTCACTCCCACCCCAACTTCTTGAACCTCATTTGTTTGGCATCAGTGGGGGAAGGGGAAACATTCTTGGTCTAGAACCAGGACCATTGGGTGGCAGCTTTAGACACACATTTCAACTGGCTCCTTATCCTTAGAGGTATATAGGCCAGGGATGGACCATGTTGTTGACAGGTAGGTGAATGCTGAGTGGCAGATTCTAGGCATGTGGATGTAGGATACCAAGTTCCAGTCAGTGTTGGTTATTGATAGCCTGTGTGACTTCAAGCCAAAGCCCTCCTCCTCCCTTAGTGCTTCAAATTGTTCATCTGTGCTTTTGTGAATAATGAGGCCAATGGAAGAAGCAAGGCTAGAAACCAGATCACAAACCAAGGACCAATGTGCTGGAATTCAACCAGGGCACTCCTCCCTTTGGCCCTGACTCCATACAGTAGACATGCTCAGTAGACATGGTGTGCCCCTCCCCCATCTAGGCTGTAAAACACTGCTGCCTGCCCTCAGTGCCCTTCTAAAGGGTGCTCCTCCACCTCCCTGCCAGGTTACTTAGGCCTTACAGATTACTTTATCCCTCCCCCTTCTATTTCAGACAGCAAACACTGCTTGGTCCTGGGCTCTCCAATAGTACTTTCTGCAACTGTAGAAATGCTCCATAATCTGCACTGTTAGCCACAAGTCACACATGTCTTTTGAACACTTGACATGTTAGTATGCCAGAAGAACTGGGTTTTAAATTTTGTTTAATTTTAATAATTTTAAAAATTAAATTTAAGAAGCCGCACGTGGCTTGTGGCTATCATATTGGACAACACATGTTCTTGGCAGAGCTTTTCTTTGTTCCTTGTTTATAATAAGAGTTAATAGGAGTTACCATTCATTGAGCACTTAATCTTTGCCAAGTTTTGCATAAGTGCGTTATAGACATGTCTCAATGAATCCTAGAAATTCCATTTTAAAGATGAAGAAACCAAGGTTTGAGAGGTTAGGTAAACTGGCTTTAAGTTGCATAAAAAGTTGGAGGGCCATTCAAGTGTGAGTCATGCTCTCCAGCCTCTTAGGGAACTTTCCAGGACCCAGCCTGAGTGTCCTTCTTCTACAATCACTCCATAGCACATGTTTGGGCACCAGGGCCTGGGGAGGCTCATCGTTGTGTTCTGATTGGTATATTCTCTTAACAAAAAGAAGAGAGAAGCTAATTCCATTACTCTCCATCTCATGGAGACCGAGAAATCCTGTCTCCCAACATCCCACCTTCAGATATCTCTTCTCTTGCCTTTTTCCTGGATCACAGTGTTCGTTGGATCACAACTCAGACCTCAAATGGGTGCTATATACAAAGGTTTGGGAAGAGTGTGTCACATGTAGGCCCAGAGGAAGCTAGTTGCGCTGGGAGCTTGGGCCTGGAAAAATCCTTGTCATTTTCAAGCAAGAAAACAAGAAATAGTATTATAATAGCTACCTTTTATTGAGCACCTACTCGTGCCAGGCACTTACTTTACATACATCTGTGCTTAAAATTCCCAAAACAATCTGGGAGGTAGGTAGGCATTATTATCACCATTTTACATATAAGGAAACTGAGGCTCAGCAAGTTTAAGCAGCTTGCTCAGGGTCACACAGCTTGTAGATGAGTAGTAGAATCAACATTGGAGATGGGCGTCTGGAAGTGTCCTTAAACTTTCATTAGGCATTCTTCATACTGAGAAAATAGGATGGAGGGGTAGGCAAAGGGATGCATTCCTTAGGCTGTGAGTTCTGTTGTCTAAGCTGTTGAGAGAAGCTAAGCCCTTCCCTGTTTCCCACCTATCCCCTCTGGCAAGCCACGCCTTTCCCAGATTCAGCTGCAAAGTCAGGAAAAACTCACTCTGGCTGAGACTGTTCTTAGAAAGGGAAATGGCGGATGTGTGCATGTAGTTCAGATGCTCAAGCACACCACCACAAGAATAAGAACATTACTCCTTTTTAGGCCACACCCCTGCCATGTGTGCAGGGAGTGAGGCAGCAGAGGAATCTTGAAAGGGCTGTTTATTTCCTACCAGAATCCGGGAGACATCACTTGGGAGGAGGGCAATTTAACAAGCAAAGCCTCAAATTTGTTCCCAGCCCCCTCCCTCCAAGCTCATCTAGCCCCAGGGGTGCTATGTTCATTCAGTAGATCCAGGGACACAGGGTGCCTCTTTCTCTCTCTCCTTCACAAAGACACACACACACACACACACACACACACACACACGTTCTTGAGTTAAGGCACCAAGTTTAGCCTGCATGGCCTTGCAAGTCTTTGCCCATCAGGCAGTGGCCTTGCCCCAGGGTTGAGCCCATGTGAGTATACAGAAGAATTAGTGCAGTGTTAGGAGTCTTCACAGATGGGGGACAATGATGATGGCTTTGTGCTGAGCCCAGTTCTCCTATCTTATGGGACCTCTTGCCTCCTTGTCAGTTGGCCAAGTATCCCCATCCATCCTTGCCAGCTGGGGTGGGACCAGGTTAGTCACAGTTCAGGCCAGTGCTGGGAACTCAGGGCCTGGCTTCCAGCTCCAAGAATGTGCCCTTTCTAAGTGTGGCAGGGGGCTATTTTGAGACCTTAAAGGGGATCAAGTCCCCACTTCAGAAGGACAAAAATGGCCACTCAGGCCAGGATGGCAGGTGAGGTTTCTCTTTGTGCTTTTAAAAATCAACCACATATAACAGGAAGAGCACTGACTTTTTTCCTCTGAGCTCACTCACTTCTCCTTCCCAGGTTTCTTCAGATTGGAGTGAGTGTAGAGAGAAAGGGGGCTGTTAGGATTGTGCCTTGGAGTGGGAGGTTGCTTCAGTGACTCTCCCCTGGCCTTACAGGAGCTGGGTTGAGCACATATATGTCAGCACTCACTTACTGGGTGGTACAGAGGTAAGTACTTTCTGGGGATACACGATGTGACTATGATTCAGGGTTAAAGGCCTGCATGAAGACTGGGATTGGGGCTGTGGGGTTCCTGGGTCCTGGTCTGGTTCAAGATGCCCAGATAAAGTAGGCCACCTCATCTAAGTCGACAGGGTAATCGGTGAGCAGAACTGGCGTCTTGTCGAAAAGCTCACCCTTATAGCTGCGCCACTTGCCCGCGGGCAGGTAGACGTCGCGTTCTTGCTTGCCAGGCTCCAGTACCGGAGCCACCAGCAGTGTGTCCCCAATAAGGAACTGAGAGTCGATGCGGTGCGCAGTCTCATCGCCTGGTGCGATCCACCAGAGGGGGCGCACGATGGGGTCACCAGTGTCAGTGACCTCACCAGCCAGCTCAAGCAATAGCGGTGCCACTAGCGAGGCCCTCAGTGCAGCGAACTTGTGCGCAATGGCCACCACTTCAGAGTCATATTGCCAGGGCGGGATTGAGAACTGCATAGCGGGCATGAAGGCGGCCACCTCCAGCCAGCGCACGTAGAGTTCGCGTTCGGGCACATCACCGCCGCCTGCTATGCGCTCAGGCACTACGTTGCCACCTACCATATCTGGCAGGATGAACGGGTAACCCAGCATGCTGACGGTGAGCACTGCAGGGATGAGCGAACGCAGCCCCAGATCGTAGCCCCACACCGAGTCGCGGTCCACCAGGCGGAAGAAACATGAGATGTTCTGTGACTGGTAGCCCACACGGACCTCTGCCAGCGAGAAGAAGGGCAGCGCCATCTCGGTGTAGCGCCTGCTCCATATGCTGGGGTCTGGCAGGGGCCTGTAGGTGCTGAAGTCCGGTGGCAAATAGCTGACCTCACCGGCATCGAACTTGAAGGAGGCCACTGCATAGCGCGAGCGCAGCCTCCGCAGGTGCCCCTGGAACCAGTCACGGGCTTCGGGATGCGTGAAGTCGAGCACCGCTCCAATACCATTCCACCAGCGCACTAGCGCGGGCAGCCGGCCAGTGGGTTCACGCACGAACAGCTCGCGCTCCACACCCTCGCCAAAGGATGATGAATTGTAGTTGACAAATGGGTGCACCCAGAGAGTGACCTGAAATCCAGCGTTACGCAGGCGACGGAACATGTCACTAGCATTGGGGAACTTGGCCTCATCGAAGTCGAAGTCACCATAAGCAGGTGTATACATGTCGTCGATTTCCAAGTGGCTGCTGTTGAAGCGGTGCTGGCGAATCTGCTGGGCAAAACGCTGTACCTTTTCCTGGTCCACCGCGCGCCCGTACAGCACCCATGTGGACCAGATGGGGTCTCGGAAGGTCTCGGGAGCTGGCACTCTCGATGGCTTGTTGAAATAGCGCCGCACCATGTACTTGTGTATGGAGGTGACATCTGAGCCAACGCACACGCGGTAGCTGAGCTCTGGCACAGCAGCACGGCCAGCTGGTGGCTTATAGGGAGTGTCGTGGTAGCGCGCCTGCAGCCGCAGTGAGCGCTCCGTGCTGTTCCAGCCCAGGTGAAAGGGTACTGAGTCATTGACCTTGATGGCAGCGGCACGTGAGGACAGCCAGTAGCGCTCTAGGATGCCTCCGAAAGCCGAGTCAGAGGAGTAGACGTCGCTGGTGACGAAAGGCTGTGGCTCCTGCTGGCCTTCAAGGCGGATTGGCCAGTGCTGGGTCCTCATCTCAGCGCCACCGTACCAGTGCGCCGCTGCGTCTCCCAGGAACATGGCATGCTCCACAGCGCGCCCCGGTGCCGCCTCCTCCCAGCGCACACGGTAGCACATGACTGTGTCCTTGGGCCGCACAGTCTGGATGAAGAAGTGCAGCGGACGGCCATCGGCTGTGCGAGAGCAGCCCAGAAGGGCGCCGTCGCGGCTACAAGAGTCGAGGTCTAGCGCGCCAGAGCGGAAGGCCAGGCGGAAAACCTGCTCGCCCTTCTGGTTGCGGATGGAGAAGCCGCCAAGGTTGAGGTCCAGCAACTCGGCCCGCAGACGTTCTGCCTTGCGTAGAGAGGCGCTATAGTAGCACCAGGCCACAACTGCCGCCAACACTAGCAGCAGCCCTAGCACCGTGGAGCCCAGCAGCGGCTTCAGCTCTTTGGATGGCTTGGGCTTGACAGGTGTGAAGTTGTCAGGCAGGAAGGCGTACATGGCTGTGGCTGAGAGGGCCTTGGGGCTTTTACGGCCTGTGTGGCTCCCAGGGCGGCGGCTGCGGGGGTAGGCCTGGTTCTTCTCCTGAGAGTTTTCAGGCATCAGCCCTCAGTTAAGGAAGGAGCGGGCAGTGGGGCCTCCTGACAAAGCCCATCTGAACCTGACCTGCCAGAGTCTGGAAGGGGAAGAGAGAGGTGGAACTGACCTCATTCCATAGTATTTCCATTTGCTGCAGCAAGAAAGAAGAAATGTATACTTTGGGAAGGTGTATTCTGGGACATAAAGGCATGACAAGTGGCAAAGGTGAGACTTACTGGGACAATCTGTGTCTTATCCACCCTTTCTCGGGCTCTAATGCTTGCCAAAATTAGTCAGGACTCTGAATGGGGAGGACAGATGGCATGAATCTTATTTTCATGGGAAAGAAACAAACCCAGACAGGGTCAGGGAGTTGTCCAGATCACAGAAAGTCAGGCCTTCCCAATCACACATGGGGAGAGATCTGGAGACTGCCTGGTTTCCTAGAGATGTGGCCATGGTGGGAGAGGGGGGAATAATCCAGTCATCTCTTTTAATAGGGCAGTAAGCTGGCTTTCCTGTCTCCAAAAGGGGAGAGGAGAGAAAAGGGAGGAACAGTTCAGGCATGGAATTTAATCTCAAGTCAGAAGCCAGATTAAATCTAGAGATTAGATCAGTCCTAGGACCTAGTTTGAAGGGAGAAAGGTATTAGGACTGGGTTCAGGAGCCTGGCTTGGGGCTATAGTGGCTTCTCAGATCTCCCCGTCTTTGCCCTCAAATTCCAACCGGCTCTCAGCCATTGTTCACCAAGTCCATTTCCCTGCCCACCTTCCTGCTCTGCTCCCAGAACCACATCTGTGGGCCAGCTACCACTTGGCTTTGGCTCTGCCACTCATTTACTATCCTGTGGCCCATGCACTAGTTTCTCCCTTATATTATTGCAACACTTGCCCTATAGCCCTCCCTGCCCCCAGCTTCCCCTCTCCAATGCCTTCTGCTTATAGCAACCACAGTGATCTTACTAAAGCATTTTTCAGATCACCTCTCTTCCTAGTTTAGAGAGCTGCTCATGACCCCTATGATGAAGTTCAGAAGCGTAAGCTTTGCAATTGAGGCTCAAGGCATGACATAGTCTCATCTGCCTTTCTGATTCTATTTCCTGCAAGGCCTATCCAATGACTACCAAGCTCATTCCTCACCAACCTAAATTCTTCAAGCCACCTGCTTTAGGACATTTCACCTACACCCACTTTGGACCAATGTCTTTCCCGGGCCTACCAGCTCTCCAGGGATCAGACACCACCCCTCCACCACACTATGCCCGTACACTCTGACATACAGTATGCAAAACATCCAAATATGACTGCAGGGAAACATAGACTTGGGGTGAGGTGTGTGTCACAACCTGTTGCTCAAGGCCACTGACCCTTCCTGTTTCAGCCCTCAGGGCAGAGTCCAACAAAGAAATAGCCCTAGCTAGGTACATACACAGACATACACACTGCCAGCCAGCTGGCTACTCCAGCTAGGAGGAAGGAGAGAGGGAGACTGGCAAATAGTAATTAGTCTCCTCCCAGATGCCAGTGTCTGTTTCTAAGTCCCCTGTGACTTCCCAGGAGATGCCAGAACTGTGCGGAGTCTTTACCTCCCCCACCTCTCCCATGAAGAGACGATCAAGAATGCCAATTGCAGGAAGCGCTCCTAACCACTTTCAGTTTGGCACTGCCCAATTCAAAACAATTTTTGCTCAAGTAAACTATTTAAAAAAGAGAATGCCAGGTGGAGATCAAAATTTTTATCCCAGATGTCAATATACAGCTCTTGACAATGCCCCCAACCCCAAGGTGCTATCTCAGGGCCTCTTTCTCTGTGCTCTCCCCCCACCCCTAATTCCCTAAGTTCCAGCTGGTCTGGAATAGCCTCTTATTTCCCTTCTTCTCAGTCCACACAACTTAGCTTTCAAAACTCCCCACCCAACTATGACTCCCCTTCCTGTAGGTTCAGGTTAGGAAAGCTCTCCTAGTAAAGGCAGGCAGTAGCCTTTAGCTGATGCCCTCATGCTAAGCAGAACCCAAAGAAGGCCTTAGGCGGCCCAAGCCAGACCTGCTATACATTAATATTCATTCATTTAAAACAACCAAGGCCCCATTATGGGGACTAAGGGAATAAGGGGAAAAATCCATATCTGAATAGGACCCCCTCATTCTCAAAACTTTCGTATTAAATCAGATCATTTCCAGACCCTTGGAAGCATGGAGAGGCCACCAAGTTGACCACAAAGCCTTTACCAACACTTAAGTTCTGAGAATCTTAATTTTCTAGGATTCTAAGATTCTTTAATGAAGGACAGGAGCCTACAGGCCTGGCTACCCACTTCTTGCAGGCCCTGTGTTGGTCTTTCAAATGCCACAAGAGCATCTACCCTAACAATAATGCCAAACAGGAGGCACAGTCACAGTACCCAGAGTACGTGTGAGGAAACAGCGGCACAAGCAGAAAAAGGAAATGGTTTGAAGATACCCAAGTAGCAAGATTGCCTGAATCCAAAATCCCAGCTTAACTCTCAACAGCATAAGTTTTAGGAGATGTGAGATATGGTCTGACACGCTGTCTGAATGCAGCAGAGGAAAGGAGCTTTGTGGTCAAGAGGCTGGGACAGGCTTCCATCAAGTGGGCGTGGGCATGGTGAGGCCTGTTTTACCAAAGGCTGCGCAGCTGCTTGCAGTAAGGCTTGAGGGTGGGAATAGGCAACTTTAACAGCATCTGATGCCAGGGCTGTGGGAAAAGAACTGTGGTTCCGGTAGCACTAGAGTCCTCTATAATCTGCTGCCTCTGCCATCCAACCAACCACGGGCTAATGCAGGCAGGTGGGGTCTGCCCTAGTCAAGCCTCTCCTCACTTGACCTTCAACCTTAATCTTGGCTGTCAGCCTCTAGTAGGGTATGAGGAGAGGGCCTGGCCTGGCCCAGCTGAGGGGAGGCCATTCCAAGCTGAGTCGTTTGTTGAGCACAGTTCCCAGGGGAATATGTAGAAATGTCAACGGCAACTCGATCCGACCCATCTACCTGCCCTGCTCAGCAGCGGGATCCTGGGGAATCGAGTGACTGCGCCTACAGCCTGGAATACTCCACAGCCACCCGAAGTGCCCCGCCCAACAGCTACAAAGTCCAAAAGGACAGACTGAGGTCAAGGGGCCTGTCTCCCATTGGAGATCGCGGCAACCCAGGTGTCCAGGCTCATCCCACCCAGCGATATGAGCGAAAGTTAAGAAAGTGTGCTCCCTCAAAACCCCCGAGGTCCTCTCCCTGGGATCACTCACAGCAGTGACCCCAGAAGTGGGGTTGAAGGGAGGGTCCTGCAGATCTCCACGCTAGCCGGAGTTGAGCTGCCACTGCGCGGCGCGGAGAGCTGGCTAGTTGGGGACAGCTGAGGCCTTCCCCAGGCCCCGCCCTCTGGCTGCTGGGCCACGCCCTGGTCTTTTGGTCTCGCCTTGGGAACTGGGAGCCCCGCCTCTGCCTCTTCCCGCATTGTCACGCGGACCTGAGGGCTCGCCTCTTCGCCCCACCTTCTTCCTACTGCTTGGTACCCAGCTCCCGGTATCTCAGGCCATCTGCAAGCCGGATACCTCCTGGCTCTGCCTGCACCTTCGAGCCCGCCTCCGCCGGGCCATTGCTTGCCCCCCCCTGTGGGCGGGGCTCTGCTCTAGGCCTGATGGAAAATGTAGTTCTGGAGGAAGCAGCAGCAGTTGGGGATTCTTGCGCCTCTAGGGTAAATTTTGTATGAGAAGGAGCGAGAAGCAGGGTAAAGGGGCAGAGCTAGCCCTTGAGATTCCTTCCTCTCCAGATCTAGGCAGGTGGAGGCCGTCTCCGTATAATGCTCTCATTAACTTTCCTATATGGAAAAAAGTTTCCCATATGGAAAAAGGGTAGAGGAATTCCGGGAGGATCTTAGCGGCTCAATATAGGGAACATACAATCAAGGACCCCACGGAGGGGTCTTGGTTTCACTACCAGGGAGGCCCAAGCTGTCGGATCCCATTGGATCATACCAGCAGTGTCGAAGGTCAGGGACTGAGAAGACTAGCTTCAGCTGGGTTATTTTGCAGCACTTCCCTCCCCCAGTAACAACCCTTGGAAATGCCGTGCTGAGAGCAGGTGGGTGTGCCCTGCCATACCTCTGCCCCCCGGGGAAGTGGGTGCAGAAATACTGAAGATCCCAGAGATTCCAGAACACCTCCCCCCTTGCTCTCTAAAGGACATAGAAACGGCTTTGTTTTGTAATTTCTTAGTCACTAAATTCCCCAAAATTATCTTTTGGACCCCTTGGACTTGGGTGGGGGAAGGCAGCCAAGGGCTGAACGTAGGCTTTTTGGGGGGCAGTGATGGAGACTCTGGGAACTGATACCAAGACCTTTGGATATAAGGATAGGTCTCTGACTGCAGAATGGAGAATTCTGGGTCTGCTGAAATGCTGGGGTGAAGGGCATCTAAGTTTGAGGGACACTGGGGAAATGTTAGCTGGAGGACCCTCCTTGCATGGCTAGGTGGACCCATCTGGATTTGAGAGGACGACGACACCAGGTAGATATAGGGCTACTGTTATGTTTCAGGAGGACACTCAGGACCACCCAAGGGAAATACCGAGATGACAGAGGTGGGGAGGGCTCAGGGCAGTTTGATTTTGAGAAACTACATCTCAGTTGAGGGGGCTTGGCAGAAGCCTGAGTAACTGGTTCCTCACTGCCAGATCTTGCTGGGTGAGGACACAGGAGGCAGTCTATGGGGTGAAAAGTTTATTTATTGCTCAGCCTCCTTACGTAGCTATCCCTGGTTCTACCAGCAGTGGTAGTCAGGGAAACTCTCCGACACAAACTCAGGGTGGATGACATAGTTGTTTCTCTGGGGCCCACCAGTCTTCTTGAAGTGACTTGTGTCCCATCTGTGGGGAGAGATGGGCCAGCTCTTTTGGACCTCATCTGGCTGATCCAATCTCTAAGCTAACCTTATCCCAATATTTGGCCTCTGATATTGACATTAGGCTCCAACACTGACCTCCTGACCTCAGATTCTACCGTTAAATTTATGATTCCCAATATTCGCTTCTTATCATTGACTTCCTACCCCCTACTCAGGCCCTGAACCTAACGCTCTGATCTCCTGACTCTAAGTCCCACTGCCAACCTGCAACTTCTCAATGCCAGCCTCCACACCCTCATGGGGTCCTCTATTTCCTTGCCAGTTTTGACTTCCCATGGCACTAGCGCCCCCTGGTGGCACTTTTTCAATTGGTGCCTCGCAGCAGATGGTTCCCACCCCTATTTCTTGGGTCCTCCGCCGCGCCAAGGGAACAACCTTCAGTGTGCATGCGATTTTGCCTTAGACTTACCTAAGGTTTGGATATGGGTAGTATGCTGGCGGGGAAGTTATAACAGCACATTGCATTCCTGGCCGGTGCTCGTAAGGCGATACACTCCTGGAGGAGGAAGCGGTGGGCAGGGAGAGGTCGGGCCTTTTGATTTCTCCATACCCCGCAGTCCAGACCAGGACTCTGAGCAGCGCTTCAGGTGTCTGTCTTACGGCTCGGAGATCCTTCCCTCCCGCCTCCTGGCCCTTCAAGACCCCATTGAAGCATCAGCTTTGGGAAGACACCTGGAAGTTCCCCTCCCCTTTAGGCCTCATTTCTGCTGCCCAGGCTGGGCCATGGAGCACGCTGGACTCTGGGGAGAGTCGGGCCCCAGCCGTTGAAGACCTAGGAGCCCCCAGATCTTCGCCATAGGACGGCAATTACTCCACACCATCGATAAGGTGACGTTTCTGAGGTTCAAACACTTTCTTGCTCCCCCGTGACCTTGTAAGGGATAAGACCTACTCTTGCTCAAGGAATCAGGCTCTCTCTGTCTGGGGAGGGACGGGATGGGGGGAGGTCAACATGGATTTAGGGACAGGGTTCCTAAACACAGCCCTGCACAGCTCTCTAGACTGATGTGGACATTGACGTTTTCCCAGGCTCAGCCCGCCTTGTCTGCCGCCGGGTGCAGGGAGAAGGCTGCGCTACAATCTGGGCTGTGGCTGAGTGCTCGGACCTTGGTTTTCTCAGCAGTAACCTTCGTGAGGCTGGCTACCACTGGAGGTGCTGAGGGGCTTCGAAGAGGCCAGGGGCCCTCTGGTAATGCATTCACTAGTTCCTTGTTCACTTAGCACTCAACAATGACCCTGCCCGTGACTGACGGTGACCCAAGGTCCAGGAATAGAGAACACTTTTCTGATAACAGGCTGTCCTATGAAGGTTAGAACCTGCATCTCCAGGGCCTGCTGTCGAGGTAGGGGGGCGGGGCCGGCGGGCGTGGGAAGAGGATGCGACTGATGTATTGGGTTTCTTCCTCAACAAAACCCTCCGGTGAGGCCTCCAGAACAGATACAGGAGTTAGGCTGATCTAGAGCCCACTTCCGGAGGGTCAGGATCTTCCTCTTCAGTTATTTGCTCAGGCGCTGGGGCCCAAGACGGTGGGACAGGACAGGGCCCAGTAAGGGGGCTGGAGTAAGGTTGGGGTCTGGCATAGAGGCAGATCAAGGTTAGACTTGGCGATGGTTGGAGGTTGTGCAGCCGAGGTAGGGCTGGACTCTGGGAACCGGGCTTGTTTAGGGGCGGGGCAGGGCTGAGCAGGGCGGGGCCCTGCGAACCTTACAGTCGGCTGCACGGAGCACAAAGGCCGCAGGTGGCGTTCTGTACAGGGTGCCCCAGTGATGCAGTAGTCCATCCCACGCAGACAGTAGTGGCGTCCTGAGCAAGTGCTTTCATAACCCTGGAAGGGCAGGCGGCCCAGCAGCGGGTCCATGCACCGGCATCGGGGCGTGATCTGTGGCAGCGGCTGGTTCCTTGACAGCGAGTTCAGCATGTTCACCACCACTTCGCGCTCTGAGCCGGCAGGTCCCCAGCCCGGGGGGTTCCAGACAGAGAATCACAAGAATGGGAAGAGACAGGGTCAAAGACAGGGAGAGATGCAGACAAACACAGGGACAGATAGAGACACGGTTACACCCTCTGCAAGGCCCTCGGGCTCCATCTCGTCCCCCAGGTTCCCATCCCACTCTCCTCCTGGCCTCCCGCTACCGGTTCCCCTCCACCGCCCCACCATCCGTTACCATAGGCATTGAGTCGCTCCGGCTTAGGAGGGTACTCCAAGTGCATTCCTCGAACTACTGTCTCCATCCCGGCCTCCTGGAAGTGGCAAACACGCTACCTCAAGCTTCTTTTAGGGGTTCCTCCCAGAACACCCAGATCTGTCCCAGGCCGCACCTTATCCCGCCCACCAAATGTTCCCCTCCTAGGCTCTGAGTGTTTGGGGTTGTCGCCGGGCAACGCGTTTACTCCGCCTACATGGGGGGAGGAGGGAGTGAAACTGTAGGTGAATTGGGTGGGGACCTGGGTCTCTGATAACTCAGCCTCAGCGTTTGCCTTTAATTTTACCCCCTTTTTTTCTAGCTTACTCTGTCAAGCTATGTATGGGTTTCTCTCTAATAGGGTTTTCAATATTGCCTGCCCATCAGAATTACCTAGGGAACTTGTGAAAAGTTCTGATTCTTGAAGTTCTGATTCAAAAGGGTTCAGTCACCCTGAGGTCAGCCATCAGCCTACAGCTAACCCCTGCTCTGGCCTAAGATCCACTCACGTTCTCTTTTCCGCAGGACTCCTTCTTCCCTCTTCGGAACACTCTCCTACATTTACCTGGGTGCCTTTATTCTCCCTCCTTTTGTCCTTGCTTACATCACAAAGGAGGGGAGTCAGGTAGACTCAGCCTGTCACTGACTCCTTGGCCTGACATATGGGAAGGAGCCAGGTGGCCAGCTTCAGGAAGGCAGCGCCTCAAGGAGTATACACTAGCCATGTCCCCCATAGAACCCAGCCAGAGATTGGGATCCAGAGGACCCAGTCCCCACAGATTGGGACCCAGGGGCCCGGTACAGCTCTACTCCTGAGCTCCTTTGTCTCCTAGAAAATACAAACCCTAGTTTCACAGATGGGAAAGAGCCTTGGAGCATTGTTGATGGAAAAAGGACAAGGAACTAATGGTGAAATATCAGTCACTATGGTTTGGGAGGTGAAGGGGTATGTGTGTGTCCCAGATCCCATCTGTGCTGAGCACAGTAGATACCTTAGGCAGTCGGGGAAGGCATGTGGTATATTTGTTACAGCCGGTACAGTTGCAAGGTCCCATCCTCCATGTGTTATACCGGTCACTGCACAAATAGTTAGGGTTGCATTTGTCTGTTTGATGATAGGGGTGAGGATAAAAGATGGTATTATTCCTTACTCCACTCCTGGATCTGGGTCTCCCTAAATGTTTCTCCTCTGATCTCCAGCACAAAACTAGATTCTCCCTCAGGCCAGTCAAAGCCCAGCCTAGCCCCACACTTGTCTTAGACACTGAAATGCAGCCCATTTCCCACCTAAAGCTTGCTCCTGAGTGGGGTCTGAATCCTTTGAGCTGATCACTTTTCATCCTGGCACCACCCTCTCTGAATCAGCCAACCTGGAAATGGGACATAATTCCCTCTTCTCTCTTATTGTACACATTCAGGCTCCAAAGTTTGCTTATTCTGCCTCCTTAAAATCACTTAAATCTACCTCTTCTTTCAGTCCTCCATGATCTTACCCCTGTATCTCTGCAGTGCCTTAACCATGTGACAATATAATGTTGTGACAAATAGAATAGACTCTGCAGACAGACTGCTTGGCTTCAAATATTAGCTGTGTGTGACCTTGACTGAGTTAATTTCACTATGTCTCAGTTTCTTTAATTTTAAAATGGGTAATAGCTCTACTACTACTTAGGATTGTTGTGAGATTTAATGAATAAACACTAAGAACTTAGAAATTTAGAAAACTATTATTATTATTAGCTTACTGGTCTCCCTGCCTCATCTTTGAAATCTCACAATCCAATCTCCACTTAGAAGCTGTTGGCACTTTTTCACAAATGAAAATCTGACCAAGACACTTCACTGCTTAAAATACTCCAAACCCCACCCACCCAGTCATCTAAGTCTGTCCAACAAGGCCCTCGAATGGTCCACTCCCCTAACAGTCTGGAAAACCACATGTGAGAGATATCAGGAAAGGAGGGCTAGGAGCCTTAGAAAATGAGGCAGAGGGTTGGGATTTAGAGTTCTCGGTTGGTGGGTTGGACATACTGAGTTTGAGGTGTTTGAGACATTCAGGTGAAGACGACCATAGTCAGATGGAGAGTGGAATTCTGGTGAGAGGTCAAGGCTAGAAATAAAGACTTGGAGTTGTCAGTAATTAAAGACATGGGTTAAATAAAATAGTCTCAGGAGAAGAGTAAGGAAAGAAGAGGCCTCAGATTAGCACCCTGGGGAACCCCACATTTCCAGAGTGGGTGGACAAGAGACCCAGGAAATTGAGGTTTTGGAGATGCTGAGAAGAAAGACGCAGAGAGTGATCAGAGTGTGAAATGCATAGAGTAGGTCTTGTAAGATAAAGATTGAAGAGTTGTGGATGCAGGAGCTAGAACCACACAAGAGCAGTTTTAATACTTGAGTGTGGGAGATATAGACCCCCAGTTTCAAAGAAATAAAAATTTATCATCCATTCATTCAACAAATACTTATGAAGCCTGGTACTGTTCTAGGTGGAGGGGGCACAGATGTGAATCTGACAAGATTGCTCTTTTGGAATGTACAGAGAGACAGATCATAAACACCTAATAAAATAAGAAAGATAATTTCTCATGAAGTGTAAGAAGGAATGAAGGAGTAAGGAAGTAGAGACAGTGAGTATAGGCTATGCTTCTAAAAATTTTGGCTGTGAAGGGGAGGAGCAGGAGATAATTTTAGGCAGGAAGAGATTAGAAAAGTCTTTCAGGTGGTCGGGCAGAGGGATGCAGGGGAGGTAGAGGATGTGATGAAATGGTCACTAAGAAGATGGGAGGAGATGGCACTTGGAATATACTTGGAAGGGTTTGTTTGGAGGAGGTCAATACTTTCATCATCTCTCTAGGGATAAGACCCATGCCTCTTTCAGTTCTTTAGCACAGACAAGGGGCTCCCAAAGGGTAGGGCCTGCATCTCCTCCAGATCAGGGTCAGGTCAGTGAGTGGAAGTCAAACTGGATTGAGTGTGTTTAGAGAAGCCCAGGTTATGGGTGGAAATAAGACATATATGATCAGCATGGAGGTCAGAATACAAGTTAGGTTCAGGTTGAGGGTCATTGGGGTCATTGAATCAGGTCAGAGCTATGTGAGAGGTGAGGCCCTACCTTCCTCTTCAGAGAGCCAGTATTTCTCAGGCAAGTAGGGGTGGCCTGGTATGGATCCCTTATAAGTATAGTCCTGCACAGCACACTTGAGCATCTTCTGCAGGGCTTCAGAATCCACATGACGCCGCATGCTCTGAGCCAGGCCCTGGGCAAAGGGAAAGGGGAGGAAATGGCCAGTTGCATAGAGACTCTAGCCTTAGGGTCCTATTGGACCTAGATCCAGCTCCTGTTGGGAAGGTTGGCCCAAGTGGGTCGCCCAAACCCTCTCCCTATGCCAGAGGGATCCTCATGCCAGCTTTGGCACCCTCTGCATAGTTCTTTTGTTTGAATTACCCTTTCCTCTTTTCTTTCCATACAGGGCTAGGGCTTAGAGCCAGATATTTGCCTTCAGTCAGAGTGATTTTCTAATGTTTTCATTTCTATTATTTTTATTGACTGGGAGCTCTTTAAGGGCAGAGTTGGGAGCTCCTGTCCATTTTCTTCCAGACTGTGATACTGCATGGGAGCAGGATCTGGGTCACCCTCAACAGAGCAACAGGACCCTTGTATAACCTGGAGCCTCAGAAAGGCTGGCTGCCCTGGGAACAGGTGTTTCGGACAGGGAGTGCTTTCTGGGAATCTGACACCTTGAAGGAGATAAAAAAAATGGGACTGGAGGTCTCCCTACTTTAAAATCTAATTCCCCTTCTCTGATCTGACTCTGATTCTGCTGTGGCTTTGATCTTGATACCATTATTACCCTTGGCCCTGACACTTTGCCCTAGTCTTCATCCTACCCTGACCTTAGTTCAGGCCCTGGGCTCCTCTGCTTCTTGGGGTTCACCTCATCTTAGCCCATTACCCCTTGTTGGGCTATATCTGTGAAATGCCAGATCAAGGCCTCCCTTTGGGGACCCCTTGTCTTCAGGTGAGGGTAAAGTGCCTAGTTATGGGCCATAGATCTCTGTAGGCAGCTGGTATGACTAGGCAGTTGGGCCGCAGGGGTAAGACACCCAACATAGTCAGACGCCATAAGGGACTTCCTCATAGTGGGCAGCAAGATGTTGGGATGGTGACAATGCCACTCACATTTCCCCCTTATGATCCAAAGAGTGGAGGGGTCTCTTGGCCAGGGATGAAACTTTGCTTTTCTTAGTGCCCCTACCACCCTGAAAATTCCTCTGCCAAAGGGCTTCTTGGATTCTCTGTGCCCAGCTGAGGTTTTATTCTGTGGGCATAGTCATATTCCACATGAGTGGAGGGGCCCCATGACTTGGCACTCCCCTGAAACTTACACGCACACACACACACACACTCACACACACACACACATACACACATCTGGACATACACATAGATCTATACCAATGCACTCATAGACATTCATACAGATGTATGTTTATACATATACTCTCAGACATACAAAAACACATAGAGATACAAAGACAGTCATTTAGAAGAACTCATAGAGATCATCAATTTTTCTGTTAGAGGCTTTCCTCAGATGTCTATAATCTTTGATTGTCCGTTCATGTTTATGCATAGTAGACTGAAAAAGCTTATTGGAGAGCATTGCCCTGGTGGAGAGGAGAACGGCTTTCTGGGTGGAAATATGTGTAATACACTGACTTACTGTGACCTAGGAAAGGCTTCCAGGATGTCTTCAACAAAGAACATGGGTTTGGCATGGTCCGAATAGATCTGAGAACCAAGTCATGTAGTGGAGTGGAATTTTCTACTTCTAGTTATGCTTACACTGATACAGGGAAAGTGTCAGGCAACCTAGATACCAAATATAAGGTCTATAACTATGGACTTACCTTCATCCTAAAATGGAACACAGACAATACTCTTGGAACAGAAATCCCTTTGGAGAATAAGTTGGTTGAAGGGTTGAACCTGACTCTTGATACCATTTTTGTACTGAACACAGGAGAGAAGAGTGGGAAATTGAAGGCTTCCTATAAATGGGATTATTTCAGCCTTGACAGTAACGTTGATGATTTCTGGACCAATCATCTATAAGCTGGGCTGTGTTAGCCTTTGAAGGTTGGCTTGTTGGCTATCAGATGACTTTTGGCACAATCCAAACTGTCACAGAATAATTTCACCCTGGTTTATAAGGCTGCAGACTTCCAGCTACACACTCATGTGAATAATGACACTGAATTTGGAGGGTCTATCTACCAGAAAGTTAATGAGGAGATTGAAACATCAATAAACCTTGCTTGGACAGCTGGTAGTAACAATACCTGTATTGGCATTGCTGCTAAATACAAGCTGGATTGTAGAACTTCTTTATCTGTACTATGCTAAGGGCTTTACGTGTATTATCTTGCTTAATCCTCACAATTACTATAGGTGGCTAAAGTAAATAAAGCCAGCCTGATTGGACTTAGTTATACTTGAACCCTTCAACCAGAAGTCAAATTGACCCTATCAGCTTTAGTTGATGGAAAGAACTTCAATGCAGGAAGTCACGGGTTGGGTTGGGATTCTAACCAGAAGCTTAATGTGATTTTAAATAAAGCATCACATTTGTTCCTGGAGCTGAAGAGAAATGAACCCACTATGTTTTGGCCTTAAACTTCTCTGAAATTTCAAAAGCGTGAACTTTTTTTTCTTCCAAAGATTTGTAATTCTCCCCACACTGAAGTTTAGAGATTGCAAGTCCACCCTAAGGGAGGTGCTTAAAGGCATGCCTGGAAATTGTTGTTTGTGCAACATTTCGGTTCCACAGTATTATTTTAAATGTGTTCCTCAGAGACAATGTAGTGTCATGTTAAAAAAGAAATGACACAATCCTCCAGTTTGTACATCACGTCTTGCATGTTCCACACCACTTTTTTATGATTGTTTAATACATTGGTCTCTGTGCAGTAGTGGAATCTTTGGTTTTGCATCAGAGTAAAATAAAATAAACCCATCACATTTGAACATAAAAAAAAAAAAGCTTATTAGAAGCTTTGAGCTGCAGGTAGGCTTGTCAATCATGAGCATCATTTTAGGCCGTTTGGCTAGACAATTTTTTGCAAACTCTGTCAGTATACTAGGTCTTTCCTCTTGGAGTGATCAGATCCTTCGGAAGAGACTTTCAATCTTTGGCCTGAAGGTTGTGATCTAGCTGCCAGTGTTCTAAGAACCTAGAGGAGAAGAGGGCTGCTGGGAGTTTTAGCATTTAGTATATGGAGTTTCACCTGTTTTCAATATGGTGCCCTGCCCTCACCTGGGCCTAGTATCCCCAGATCCTCATCAAAATGTAAGCCTTCCAACTTTTGATGGGGCAGAGATGGGGTGGGGGGTCAACCTGTGGTGTGGAATAGAAGAGGGGATTAATGGGCTTAACTGCTCCTTAAATAGATTTAGAATCATCCTTATTTTGGCGTTGGTTCCATCTTCAGTTCCGGAAAAGCCTAGTATTGCTAACTCCTGAGCTTTGTGAAAATTCTGAAGTTTTAAGTTGAATTATATCTTGTGTATTTATCATACTTTCCAGCTTCTGAAATTTTGTTGCCATTGTCTCTTCATTCTCACTATTCTTGTGAGTTTGTCTTAAATATCCACTTCCTGTAGTTTTAGAGGGTTTCAGGAAGGAGTCAAAATACATGTGTTCAATTTTAACCCAGGGAATCGTAGTTCTTTATATATTCTATATACTAATCCTTTGCCGTTATATGTTGCAAATATCTTCTCTTGGTTTGTGGCTTGTATCTTCATATTCTCTATGGTGTCTTTTGATGACTAGGAGTTTTTAATTTTAACATAATTGAATTTATTAATCTCATGTGCTTTTGCGATTTAAGAAATCCATCTACACTCAGATAATGTTCTATATTTTCTTTTAAAAGCTATACAGTTTTGCTTTCCTTATTTAAGTCTTTGTCAGATATTGCTTTTGGAGTTAGGGATCAATTTTATTTTTACCCTTATGGATTACCAATTGGCCCATTGAGTAGTCTATCTTCTCCACAGGTTTGTAATGCCATCCCAAGCCTGATATAACTTTTCCCATAGCTTTACTTTCAAATCATTTCTGTTGTATATTATTTCCATGCATATGTGGCTCCATTTCTTATCTATTTTAGTCCATTAATCAATTTGTCTATCCCTACAGTAATACTATGCTTCATGCATTTCTATGGCTTGCTAATGAACATTAATATCTGATTGGACAAGTCTCCTTCTTCTTCAGGTGTGTTTTAGCTATTTCTAGAGCCTCTGCTCTTCTCTAGAAATTCTTTTATAAACAGCTTGTCAAATTCTTCAAAAAATCTTGAGATTTCAATCAGAATTCCATTAAATCTTTATTTTAGTGACCCTTCCTAACCACAAGCATGTTATACCTCTCTATTTATTTATTTTTTAAAGTATTCAAAGTTTTATATTTTTATAATTTTGAACACATTAGATTTATTACACTTATCTTTATTTCTTGTTGCTAGAATATGTACATATATATTTTTTAATTATGCTTTCTAAATATTTGTCATTGAATTAAAGAAATGTGATTGGCTTTTTACCTTATATTCATCCAGGCTTCCTTCTAAGTTCTCTTGTTTTGATAATTTATAGATTCTATATACACAATTGTATCATCTGTGAATGACAATTTTTATATTCCTTTCCTATTCTTGCATCTTACATGATACTGTTTTCCAATATACAACTTACATTATATTCTTTTCCATTATTTTGTTTTTCTTTAAATTTTACAAATTAAAAATTATTATAATTATTTTTTGTAGACATTTGCTTAAATTTATCTGTTTGCCAATTTTGTAGCTCACCATTCCTTCTTGTATCCTGCGATACCTTCCTTTTGTGATCATTTACCTTTCTCCCCAAGTATAGCCTTTAGAAGTTTCTTTATTATAAGTCTGATGGTAGTAAACATTTTAGTTTTTGTTTGTCTGTAAATGTCTTCATCTTTCTTTTTCTTTTGTTCTTGAAAGGAAGACACTTTGAAAAAAACTTTTTTCTGCCTATTGTTAATGTCATCTCTTAAGCTGGCGTTATGCAGTGTGACTGTGAAGTACCGAAGTGTGGAATTCCTTCTATTTATTCTGTAGCTGTGGATTCATTTCTTTCATTAGTTCTGAAAAATTCAGAGCCTTTTTATCTTCAGATGATGTCTGTTCTCCTTTCTGCTCTTTCCTCCTGGGACTCCAAGTAGATGTGTGGGGGATCTTCTCCTTATATTGCTTAATGTTTCATATTTTCTCTTTTTGTCTCTCTGTGCTATATTCTGGGAAATTTCTTCTGTTCTTTCATTTCACTGACACTCTTAAGCTGTGTCTAATCTACTCTTTAACCCATCCAATATCCCAATATGAGTATTTGGTTTTAACACATATAGTTTTCATTTCTAAAATCCTATTGCTTTTTTACATTTTTCTGGTATTTTAAAAATATAACCTCTTGTTTGGTCATTTTGATGATTTTACATTTTATTTTTAAAAATTCATAATAATTATTTTGTATGCTTTAACTGTTAATTCCAATATCTGAAGTCCTTAGAGGTTTAAGTCTGTTGTTTGTTCTTTCTGCTGTCATATTGTGGCTTGTTTTCTTACATCACCTATTGTAAACTCAGATTTGATTGACCTTACTCTGAAGGATACCTGGAAGCCTACACTGAGGATATTTTTCACTATAGAAGGTATATATTCATTGTGTGTGTGTGTGTGTGTGTGTGTGTTGGGGATCATGGAGCCAGATATCACTCAACTTTCTGGTTCAGTTTGAAATTTACAGGTTTAGTTTCTCCATCTTTCAGCTAGCTTAAGGCTTAATTTCTACTTATAGTGCTAATGTTGGCATTTGTCTTTAGGGCAAACCTGTCTTCTAAATATACTTACCACTCACTTCCATGAGAGTCCAAAACAAAGTAAAAATGAATTTTTATGTAGGACCTAGTTGATTTGAAGCAGGAGGGCCCTTCAGAGTTTCTAGACCACCTTATTGCCAAAAGGAGAAGCCTTTCCTTCATTCTTAATCTCATTGCTATCTGGCTTTCACTCCACTCTGCTCACTGAAGCTGTCTGACCAGGTTACTAAGGGTTACTACATCCAAGAGATTCCTTTCTGTGTTGACAGCATTTGATGCTGATCTTTGTCTAACAGTGCTGTCTTTGTTGGTTTTTCTTTGACTTTCCGCTTATCATTCTGTCTCCTTTTATGGCTCTTCTTCTTTTACCTACCCCATTAAATATTAATATTCTCCAAAGTTCTGTCATGGGCCATTTTTTTACTCTTCCTTGGCTATCTCATTCACTCCTATGACTTCAGCTACCATCTATATGTTGCTGATTTAAAAATCTATATCTGGGGGGAGGGGCAAGGTAGATGGGATGAAAGTGGTCATATATGTGGTGACAGAAAGAAATCGAACTATGAGAGATGAACACACAATGTAAATATATATATATATATCTTACTGTCAAAATGTACAGCTGAAACTTACCACATTTCATTAACCAATGTCATCATTAAAAATTTTAATTAATTTAAAAAGTGTAAAACCTGTAGCCCAAAATTCTTCCCTTCGCTTCAGCTAAGTACATCCAACTACCCACCAGCCATCTTTTTCTAGAAGTCCTTGAATGTTTTTTGTCCCCAAATGAACTTCAAATCTCTGTAATCTGCAATTCCAAATCTCAGTTGCCAGAGCCCAAAACTCAGGAGTCATCTTCATCTCTCCCTTCTTTATACCCAGATGGTGACCAAAATCTGATCTACTTCTTAAAATTCGTTCCTATTGACTGTGAAAAAGCAGGCAGGCACTCTCATATTTTGCTGGTTGGCATGTAAGTTATTACAAACCTTATAGCAATTTGAAGTGTATATCAAAAGTTTTTAAAATATGCATTTCCTTCCTCTGAAAACTTGCATGTCTAGGAATTTATTCTAAGGGATAGTTGATGTATACAAAGATATATATGTACAAGAATGTTTATACTAGCAAATTTTTATAAATAACCTAAATTTCCAATAATATAACATTCCTTAAATATATTTTGGTACATTCATACAATACTATAGTCATGAAAATTACATTATAAAAAATATTTACTTCCTAAAAGGGTATATAATGGTAAATTAACAGTGGTTATTTTGGATAGTGAGATTATAGGCCTTTTTCCTTTGTTCTTCTCTGACTTATCCCCATTTTCTGCATTGAGCATATATTTATTTTGTAATTATAAAAATTATTTAAAAAATTCTCTTATTCAACAAATTCCTTTTTTCACTGCCATAGTTTTCCTTATCTCCCACCCACACCCTCCTCCCTCCTCTTTTATCATCTCACTGGGCTTCCTGCCCTCAGCCCCAGCCCCATCAATCTCTTGCCACTGTGGCCAGAGTGGCCTAACTTACAATCCAATCATGGCACTCCCAAATTAAAAAACCCAATTCTGTCCTCTTTCTCAACATAGCCTGAGGCTCTTCGTGGTCTGCAGGCTCTTCTCTAACCACAAGGCTAGCCTTTCCCCAGCTCCTGCAGTTCTCAGTTCCCAGTGGGTCACTGCCCCCAGGCTTCCCTTTCTCATGACTCTTCTGCTGAAAGCCTCCTCCTGCTGGATTTCTTAGTAGACCTGCTCTTCAAGTCCAGGGAATGCTCTCTTCTTTCCTGATCTTGTACTGGTCCATGCCTTTGTTGGTGCATGTTCCACATGGGGCAACCCTATTTTGTTCACTTGTTTGCTGAGAGTTCCTCAAAGGCAGGGCCTGGCCTTTCATTGTTATATCCGCATTGTGCCTGGCACATGTAGATATCCAGAAGTTTGTTGGATGGTATACACAGATTATTTTCCTTAGGCAGTCCAGTTAGACTCACAGGTCTCCTCTCCATTTCATATAAGGTGCACAGACCCACGTGGCCATCTGTCTTCACAAGTACAGACACAGATACAAGGAGACTGTGATAAACACACATAAAAACATGCCTATTGGATATTTTCTGGCATATCAGGCAGCCTCAGGACCTTTGCACTTTCGGATCACTCTGCCTGGAACCTTATTCTTTCAGCTCTTCACATAGCTAGTTCTCTCCCATCTAGGTCTTCTATGGCCTTTCTATTTAAGTAGCTCTCCCTGGTTACTTTCCATTTCCATTATCTTATTTATTTCCTTTATAGCATTTTAGATAATTTAGAAAAATCCTGCTTATTTCTTATTGTATAACTCTCCCTACCTCCTACCCCAGTGTAGTAGTAGGGTACCATGAAGGCAGGATCTTGTACTATTTTATATATCATAAATTCCACACTTAGGCAAGTGAATAAAACACACACACACACACACACACAAATCTAAAATAATTACAAACACATAATGACAACCACACACTGCCAGTCATCCAGATATGCATGGTCATACACTCTAGCTTGCCCCTACCGCCACCCCCCCCCAACCTCCGCCTCCACTTACCGGGGTCACAAACTTGTTGGCTTCCCAGGCACATAGAGGTGGGTCCTTATAGACCTCCTTGATAGAGGTTGGAGCCCTGTAGGAGTCACTGTAGGTGCTGATGGGAGTCTTGGTCTTACGGGAGGAGAGGAACATAGTGGTGTAGGGAGTGCTGTGGTAGGCTCTACCTACCAAGGTCTCCTGCAAAACATCAGTGACCACCCCCTCTCCCAGAGAGCCCACACCGCCAGCCTGGCAGGTGCCCCTAGTTGCTGTGACCCTCCTGTGGAGGATCTCTCAACTTCTCTCCCGCACAGACTTTCTGCTCCTACCCCACCCTGTTTCCTCCTTTAGGATGGGCACTGCCCATTATGATATCACCTGGCTTAGTCCCATCCCTGGGGAGATGAGGAGGTCCAATTCTCTCCCTACTCCCAGCCACGTCCTCCCTCAAGCCTCTCAAAAGAGCCCAATTTCCAAGAGATCTTCTAGGCTAAGCTTCTCAATTTGATGAAGAGATACGGAGGTTCCAAAGGGTCAAGTGACTCACCCGGGGTCATACAGAAGGTCAGTGGCAGGCTTGGCCTGGGAACCCACAAATGGAAGTAGAGTGAAATGTGCATTCAAAGGATCAGTTTTTTCCCCTTCCCAGCCCACCTGTCCCTTGCCCACACCCCAGGTAGGAAGCTGAGGCTGGCTTGTTTGATGCTTTTAATATCGTTATTTGTGTTACACGATACACAACCAAGGATGATGGTCAATACTGCGATGGAAATGTTAAAAAAAATATTATACACGGCTCATGTCTTCCACACACCTTCCTGGAAATAAATTAGTGAGCGCGGAGAAACCTGGCTGGGTGGCAGCCAGAGCTGAGGGTAGAGGGAGTGTTAAGGCAGTATCTACAAGGGAGAAGGGTGGCAGGGGACAAGCTAAGGCCTCGATTCCTCCCCTCCAACCTCCCAGACAGGGAAGGAGGAAACCGTACACTCTCCCTAGACCCAGAAGGTGCTGGCTGCCAGCTTCCTACCTCTCTCTGCCATTTGTACACTTACTCAGAAACCATTGCCTTCCAAGGAACTAGGTATGTCCTGTAGGGAGGGAGCTTTTCCCTAGTTCCTCAGGGCCAGAGGGGTTAGGCAGGGGGCCGGAGTCACACAGCAAGTCAGCAGCAAAGGCAGAGATATAAATGAGCCCTGGTGGGGCCCTGCCTGGAAAAGAGGAGGTATCCAGGTTCTCGAAGGGTGAGTCAAGAAGCCCAGGGTGGTGGTGATAGTAGTAGTAGGCTTGGCTCAGGGTGCCCAGATGACGGAGTATAGGGATCTAACCATGGTGGGAGAAATGGGCTCAGATAGAGGCCAATACTGGCCTTGTGGGCCCTGACAGTGCTTTCTCTGTCGTGCCTCCCTTTGGCATTTCCTCATCTAACCAGATCCCTGCATGAGAGGAGGTAGGGGTGAGTTGGAGGAATTGAGGGTAGAGAGCTGCATCTCAACACTTTGGAGTTGGCAGCCCCTGAGTGTGGTGCAGGGAGAGCTGCTACCCTTCCTAAGCTAGCAGCCTTACTCTCTACCTCTTACTACCCTCTCCCTCTTCTAGCTCCCACCTCCCAGGAAAGACGTCCAGGGAGTGGGCTGCGGGTGTGTCCTTTACATGCTTGCAGCATGTGAGTGGTAATATATAAGTGGATACACCAGTGCATGTAGGGTGTCAGCATGGAGGAATGGGGGGTGTACACCCTGGCCTTGGGGTATGGGGTTTCTGGGGCATAGACCTGAGCAGTCTTAGGCTATCTGTGCTTTCATTTTTTTTTTTTTTTTTTCACATGAGGGCAGGTCTATATTACCCAGTCCCAGTGGAAGCCATTGGTCACCTCCTCCTTCTTGATTTTCATCCTCAGTTTTTCTGGCACACCCTCCCACCCCAGCAACAACAGTGGAAGCAGCAGTATACACATTCTGACTCAGACACCGCATATAGCCACATACACAAGAGATATCCATACAAGTATACATATTCATAGACACACACACATGTATTCCCAAGTAGATCCCCCATGCACTCAGACATAGACAGGTCCCATGGAACTTCCTCCTCTCCTTTCCATACAGACTTACAACTCAGGAAGCCCTCTAGGTGTACTCAAAGATACACAGAGGCCTCCCTATACACCTCCAGAGAAGTTCCTATGAGAAAATTCCTTCGGGTTTGAAAGAACCTTAAAAATAATTTCAGACACTGCTCATTTTACAGTTGAGGAAACTGAAGCCTGGAGAATGCAAGTGACTTGTTGAAGACCACAGGGAGAGTGCCAGAGCTAGGACTAGAACCCAGGCTTCTGGTTCCAAGTCCAGAGCTCTCAGTCCACTGTACTGCTGAATAGCCTCTCACACTGTTAACAGACCACACAGTCACTTTCCCACCATCTACGGCAGAAACAGACATCTAGAGAGACAGGCCCAACTGCAGAGACACAGGCACAAAGCCTGACAGCCTCAGGCACACACATTCTGCCAATCTCTCCCTACCATACACATGCAGCCACTATATTTTCATCTTGCTTCCTCGAAGAGTCTTACTGGGAAGCAGCATCCGGAATCTTGGGCTGGAGTGAGATGGGAATGGCGCATCTGAGGCCAGCCTATCTCCTGCTCCCAGTGTGGAATAGAGACCAGTGAACAGAAAGGTGGGGGGGCGGGGGGTGGGGGGGGCCTTGGCAGAGAGATAGATGCATTGGTTAGGGGTGGGTGAGGACAGATCATACTATCCCAAACTCCGGCCTGTCTCTAACCCAGAGAGCAAGGAAGCAGGTGAATGGAGCAAAGAGGAGGAAGAAGGCAGTGATCAGATGGGTCAGGGGCAATATCCCACTGGGCAGTTTTCCCAGCCTTCCCATCTAGAGATGAAGGGAGAAATGCAAATAGGTACATGGGTTGGCAGGGGTCGCACGGAGGGGGCTCTGAGGTGCTGGGCTTTGCCCCCTTCCCCCCCCCCCCAGGGCCTTTCTCCCTTGAGCCCCTTTCCTTGTCAGGCTGGGGCTGGGGGAGTTCATGGCTTCACTGGGGTGGGGCCGAGTCCCTGGCTTTGTGATCTCTCTCAAAATTTATTATTGTTGGCCTCCCTGCGGTCCAGTCCCCTCACCAGACTGCAGCTTTGGGGAGTGGGGCAGGGTGCTAGGCGAGGTCCCTCGAGTAACTGAACATAGAGCTGCCCCCCTCCTCAGCCCCCGGGGTGAAGAGAGACCCGGTTTTGGTTTCTCCGGCTCCATGAACACGCAGAAGTACACGTCCTACCATAGGAGGAAGCAATGACTGTTAGGAGGTTGGCGGCTGTAGAGGGCGCGGGGCCAGGGGCAGGCAGACGAGTTGGGGAGGGGTCAGCCCCTGCCCTGTCCAACCTGGCCCTCTGTGGCCCTGCTCCAGCTGCTGCAGCAGCCTCACCCACTACTGAATGTGGCAGGCGGTGGAGGACGTGGCCTGGCAGCACATGCATGTGGGGTTCACGGACTTGGGGGGGATGAGGTCCAGGTCCTCGTCATCAGGGATCTCATCTAACCGGTAGCCGTCCTTCAGCAGCTGAATGTTCAAATCTTGGTTGATCTGCTGTAGACAAAGGGGAGGGAGGTCAGGCTCCGACAGATCTGGAGGCACCACCCACAGCCAGGCTGCATCCCCCGGCCTCCCACGCCCAGACCCATCCCATCCCAGGTCTCCCTGAAACCTCTGGTTTCACCCCTACTCAGTTCTTGGCCTCATCTTCCTTATAGGCACTTCCCTATGAGGACCATCCCACTACAGACCCCACCCCATTCTAAGGGCAACTTCTCACCTTAGATCCTGCCTCTTTTAGAGCCCTGCCTCTATTTCAGGTGGCATAAGGTGCCACCTGTTTTTCACACCCCGTTCTATTCAAGAGCCCAGTGCCAAACACAGTGTCCATAGCTCCCCTCAGGTGTGATTTGGGCCCATGGCTTCTCCTAGATGGAGGGCCTGCTCTAAGATGGGAAGTGTGGGCCTCACCTCAGCAGAGGAGTAGCCAGAGGAGGAATATCTGGACATGTCAAAGTCATCATCACTGGCCATGGAGGAAAGAAGACAGAGGGAGAGTGATTCCCAGAAATCAGAAAACTCCCTGCACCCCTATCAGTTAATACCTTATATCCCTCTCTCATGCTCCCAAATAAACAGCACGATCTAAATAAAAACTGGGCTTGCTGTGCAAATGCTGTTTTAAGACAGGTTCCCTGGCTCCACCCTTCTAAATAAATTTCCACCCTTAACTTCCTTCTAAATAGAGATGCTACTCTCTTCCCCCTCAACCATCCTCCTTTTTTTCTAGGCTCAAATCACTCTGGCTTGTTGAATTTTCTCAAAGTCCAGGTCTAGCTAAGTGTGTTCCCAACAATAGGGCTGCTCCCTTAGAGGGTGCAAGGCATTAAGCATCAAATCAAGGCTCATTTTTGGGGCAGCTATTGGAGCAGTGTCCCAGTACAGCAGCAGACTGCACCAGTCCCCTTTTCCTCTCTCTGCTTTTCCCCACATCCAGGTAAAAATTCCATTCCCTGGGGGATTCACCCTTGGAGAGCTCCTGGCTGTCTGAGGAACATCTCAGTTCTGACAATATAGCAGGTATGGCTTGTACAGTCCACTCGTATGTTCACATAGGTTCCTGTGGCTTGCCTAGCTGCCCCAACATCCCCGTACACACCTGTCAGTATCAAGGGCTACCAGTGGCTTCTCGTCTGGGCTCTGGTCAAGCGAAGAATAGCCTTTATTGGGAACGACCAGCCTGGGTGGAGAATTTGGAGGATTGGATTGGCAACTGGAGCACACAAGCCCGGCAAGGAATTGGGTCTGGCCCCACCCCACCACTTCCCTACCCCCACCCCCTTGGATCCTGTTGAGACATTCTCCTCTTAGAGAGGAGCTAGGTAGGCCTAAGGAAGAAGGGAAGAGGGGGAGGCTAAGGACCAGCAGAGACAGATGCTAGCTGGCAGGGTCCAGATGGGATAGGGGGCCCTCTACCTTGTCCGGGCCATGACATTGTTCTTCTTGGGTTGCTGGTTGACAGGGCTACCCATGCTGCCATTCTTCAGGGACCCCTTCCGGGCCAGCTCCCGTTGCTTCTCTGCAGGGGAACATGGGAAGGAAGCTGTGTCCTGCTCCCAGGGCTACCCTGCCTTGCTGCTCTGGGCAGCCTAGGCTAGACCTCTGTTGGGAAACCCCATGCTTCTCTAGGAATTCCAATTCCAAGGCCTGCTGCTCAGTAGAGACAGTAATTGGCCCTGCACAACCCAAGGCAGATAATAAAAGGCAACAGGAGGCTGATCCCTGTCTTCCAGGAGCTGTACTCTTACGTGGAGCAAATAGTGTTTGCTTGATACCAGAGAAAGGCTGGAGAGGTAGAGATGGAGCAGAAGGATGGAACAGTCAGGGCTTCCTGCAGGTGACACCTTGACTGGAGAGAAGGGGGCATTCTAGGAAGGAGGGATAGTGTTTACAAAACTTACATTTAGAAGTGAGCACAATAAGTGTGGATCTGGATGGGAAGAAGGGGTGAAGATGGAGGGAAGACAAGTTGGAAAAGTAGGATACATTTATTCAGTCATTTATTTACCAACAACACCTATGTCACCAATCCCAGGTCCTGTGCTGAGGGGCTGGGGACTCCCTCTGATTACAAACTCAGAGCTTGGCCTTGAATGCCGAATAGAGGAGTTTGGGATTAATTCAGAAGGAAAAGGAGCCCTAAAAGTTGTAGAATGGGAGGGGCAGAATGGGGCTAGCAGAGTAAGGTGCAGGAAGCTTGGGGAGCCCCTCTGGCTGTACTTCTGACTCCTCTGCCAGCCTCTGAGTTCTCCGAGGTTCCAGAGCCTACTGGATTCATGGGGCTGGCAACCAGGTCACCCACTGCCCAGTGTGTGGCACTGTTACCAGTAGCCATTGGCTGCCTGGGTCCTGAGGAGGCCTGTCCACCCTTT